CAAGGTCAAACAATTTCTATATAACGGAAGGAGACTGCGACCACAAAAAAGACCACACCATCTTGGTCTTATACTTTCATTAAAATATAAATTATAGGATGGAGGCAATAAGGTATGAGGCCCTTCTTTCAGTTGCCTCCCAATTGATTTCGTGTCTAGTCTGTGTGATATGCTCCTTGATTGACGAATTGTAGCTTGAGGCTTAGAATGGCAAGACTTAATGATGCGAGCGAAATGTATGTAATAAATCCACAGTACGAGGCTGGGAATTATGATAACCAATATCACAGAAGACTTTGGAAAAGGTGTGTCCAATTAAGTCGCCTTGACAACACGACCAAATTGCGAAAACGAGGCCAACCCAGTTCTATGCATCTAAATGAGACTGCGACCACACCATATTTGTCTTCATATCCTATGCAAAGACGGTAGAATAAAACATATGTTTTCTATCTGTTTTCCAAACATAATAAGCATTCAAGAGCCCGTTTAATAAATCTTAACTGGGGAAAATAATTATGAAAAATCCTAGTAATACTTGTTGAGCAGTTAGTGAAACCAAAAGTTGATGGATTGTATGACCGTACGGAGGTAGGGAAAACTTTACATCTGATAAGAGGAAGTTTTGTTTGTTTCGTCGTAGATACATGTCTGCGGCTCTGGAATTTATTGCAGGGCTTGAGATTTTCTGATTTATTGACGTCCTTAAGAGCAGTTTCTAGCCCAATCTGACTAGTGGATTTAGGTCTGTTGAAAAGGGTGCTGCATTGGTTGGCATCCAAAGACTGGTTCATGGTGGGCATATGTTGTTGTGAAGGAGAATTCAAGAAAGTACTCCCTTTTGTTGAGACGAAACAACTGAGAGACGTCTGGCGATGTGCCCCTTGACATTGAGGCAAATAGGAAGTGCAAAGAATAGGTAATGGTTGGGAAACAACAGCCAATTTCCCATCAAAATCCGGAAGACCAGTTTGAGAAGAATTAGGCAATGAGTGATTAAAATCCAAGGCGATCGGAATACGAACCCAAACGGGGCAGTGATCTGATCCATGCACACTTGGCATAATAGTTGTCCACCAAGAAGATGAAGCTTTACGTGGAGGATGAGGGATTGATCCATGATCCTCATTTTCGACTGCATAATGCCCATCAAAAATAGGTGAGGAGCCAACCGGCAGACAAGAGGATATAAGTTGAGCCAAATATGGATCAATAAGAATGTAGTCAATGCGAGTGCCATAGTTTGTTTGGCGAGCGCCGGTTCGTGTATTCCAACAGGTGAAGGCGGATTCACTGTTCGGGAATGATAGTCTAGTGAAAAAAATTAGAGGAAATTTATCATTCACAAGAACGTTATTGGAGGAATGGGTAACAGAGAATAAATTATGCCTCAATATGTGAAGACCAACAAAAAGTTAATAGTATCAGGTAGTGTTGAGATATTACTAGCGAATAAAGTTTTCGCAAATAGCAAGTATTAGAACCAAATTAAATTAATGAAGCCCCAGGGAATTTGAAGAATTTTATTAAGTCAAAAATAACTAAACCCAAGATAAATTTAGGATAAATCCCAAGAAATGAGTTGCCAAATATCCTTAAATATGTACAACCTTTAGACACCTGCATAAGGGGATATTGAAGTAAATACTATTAACTAAATGAGACGCATGCTTGGAGAAGCCCTAATAAACCAAAAGAGTAAAATAAAAAAGACGTTGTATTTAAATAATTGGGTGATTTTATCGATAGGAAAAAAAGCTGGGTCGAGATTAGAGTACGAAATAAATCTATGATTTTTGCAAGACACTAATCTGATCCAAGATTTTCCAGAAGTCGTGTTTGGAATGAATTTCACTTTGACGATATCTGCCATATAAGAAATAACACGTAATTGCTCACTATATAGACAGATATCCTTATAATTGGTTTCATTCGGTCGGATCGGTCATCAATCCATAGTCCACAATAGCTTAATGCACTAAAGCAAACAACATTAGGAAATTGTTTGACCTTGTTTGTGCAACCTGGTCATACTGGTAGGAAAACTTAGAGGAACGCACCTTGTCCGGAGTTCATTGTATGCATAATCATTTCTAAAGTCGGATCGTGGACGTGGTACATTCCCAGATGTTTCGCCTGCATCGTAATCAACAACGTCATTGGAAATGATCATGCCTACATTGGATGTGGTGGACATGGTATCACAGTTAGAAATAGGAAAGATGCGGTGGAGACTAAAGCTATTTGGCTAAAAATAGTGGCGTTTGATCATAAAAGTGATCCTTGAATCACGACTATTGTTAGCCAACTGGCTCTATCTTCCATTGTTTCTATCCTCTTTCTATATATTATACCAAGTCTATGACTTGGTGAGAAGGCCAATGTGGAGTGCGGAGGATTCTCATGAAAACCGCTCAAAAGGGCACACCGTACCACACTTAATCAAGCAAGTAAAAAATTGTGACAGTGAAGGCGGGATAGGAGGATATAAGGAACGAGAATAGGCAAGGGCAGAAGGGGAGATACTACAACTGTTTAGCACACGTTTGGTCAAAGGATCGACTTCACTTGTGTCTTTGACAAGTTGTTGTGTGGTGCTACGAATGGCTGAACTCACTGACGATGCCAAAGAAACGTCTGGGAATGTACCACGTCCACGGTCCGACTTTGGAAATGACTATATATGAAATGGACTCCGAACAAGATGCGTTCCTCTAAGTCTTCTTACCAATATGACCAAAGTGCGAAAACAAGGTCAAACAACTTCTATACAACACAACGAGACTGCGATCACACAAAAGGCCAGACCACCTTGGTGTTCATATCTTCAATATTAGGAAAGATATAAAGCCCTAAAATAAACATTAAAGCTTTGT